TACTTCAGCGTACCCATGGGCAAGATCAGGGTCGCCCCGAAGTCGCCCATGGTCACGCGCTCGCAGACATCGATCACCCCAGCGTGCGACGTGAGCGTGGAGGAGATCAGCAGCGACAACGACGAGGCCTTCGAGTGGACCCACGACGAGCTCTTCTCCAGCCACGACCCTGACTTGGCGCTGCTTCTCCAATCGGCGACGGCACCGACTACGCCAACTACTCCAGCGACGTCGAAGCCAACAACTGGTGGCGACTCGGGCGGAGTGGAGCTCACCGAAGAGAAGAAGAGCTCCTCGCAGGCGCCGACCGCGCAGGCAGAGCTCTTCGACGAGACGGCGATCACTGTGCAGACCGAGCTGCACGACACGAAGATCGCCGAACTGATCGACAAGGCGACGCCGACCGAGCCGACCCAGCTGGCCGACGTGAAGCAGAATGGCATCCAGGCGGAGAGAGACGACAGCAAAGATGAGAAGCACGACATCACAGAGGCTGGCATCCAGGAGAAGATGGATACCACCATCAAGGGGGACGGTGACACTACGGGCGACACGCCGTCGTCGGCGTTGCCAGCCGAGTCGCCGCTGTCCGACCTTGAGTTGCAGAAGCTCTTGGCGAAGCCAGTCACGCCGCCAAGTAGCGGCGCTTGGAAGGAGTTGCAGTCACAGTTGAAAGCAGTTCGGAAGAGGCCAGCGGGCGCTAACATGAACATGAAACGGCCAGCCTCTGCTGCTGAAACTCAGGAGGCAGCTGGTCCGTCAACTGAGGAGGTCAGCTCAGGAGGCGTCAATGCACCCGTTCCCGAGGAGGTTGACCCTGCGAAGATGTCGCCAAAAGAATGGTCGAAGTTCTTGAACCGTGAGCACAGCAAGGTCTACTGCAGGACGATCGCCACTCTCAAGAAAACCAGCACCTCGCATGACCGTGTCCTGCAGGCCGCTCAGGGTGCGGCCAGGGCCAGGACAGATGAGCTTCGCACCCAGTACCAGCGTCCTGCGAAGCGGGCCAAGCAGTAGGCGCCCCACGGCGTGGGCAACAGTTGTGAGCGTGTGCTTCGACACGCTGGGGGCCCATGCAATGCGCTTTATATTGCACAATCACTTCTGTGCTGGCGCGTCGAAGCATGGGACACCTTTTCGAGCTCTTTCGAGCAAGAGCCTCACGCTCCGTCCTCATCCCCCTCGTCCACTTCCTCAACCTCGCCATCCTTCTCAGCCTGGCAATCCTTAGCATCGCCCTGTTCATCACCACCGCCACCCATTGTTATGGTCATCATCTTCATAATCCCAATTGTCATGCTCATCATCGCACCCGTCGGCATCCAGCATGTGTATCGTCATCCACGCCATCGCCATCTTCAACGTCATCCCACCATAGCAGCTTTGGACCAAACAGATTTTAGGAGCAGAGCGCGACGACATTTCCATGTCATCAGATCTCGAGCGCGAGTGGCAAATGCAGCAGGAGGATTCCGCCCAGATGCAGAGAGAGGTTGACAGCCCGATTGCGGTTCAGAGCGATTCAAGCCACGAAGCTCCAGCTCTCCCGATTGACGGCGGCGAGGGCGTCGAGACCGTGGGCGTACAGGACCGTTGGGGTCCACTTGCCGACACCAGCAGGTGGGACAGCTTCCGCGCGGTCAAGGTGGATGACGAGAGCAAGAAGATGATGTACCTCCTCGGCGTTTGGGCGCAGAGCAAGACATTGGACACTAAGTACACGTCTTCCTTGCTTGAGGAGGTGGGCTCGCTGTCAAACGACATGGCGTGCGCCTACAGCCTCTTCCAGATGCATGTCCCTGCAGGGCCAGCCCCCGAGGATTCGTTCCAGCTCGAACACTTCATCCGCGACACGTTGGAACCGCTGGCCGTTCGGTTCCACGAGCTCAAGGCGGTCATCGACAACCTGCTGCGCTCTCCCGAGAAGAAGCTGCGCCGCACCGCGTCGGACCCCGTTGAGCCTGATGAAGCTCTCGCCGCCGCCAGTTCGAGCGCACAGGAGGCAGAGTCGGTGTCCGAGTCGCAGGAGTTAGCGGAGCAGGCTCAGGACTCACAGCAGTTGCATGAAGAGTCTCAGCGGTAAGTCTTCCAGCCAAGCCCGAAGGCATGACGAGCGGTGCGAAGGCGCCGCCTCGCCTTTAGAAAACGCTGTTGTCAAATGAGTCTGGCTGAGTTCCGTGCGCAAGAGCCAGGGGCACCCAAATCATCGCATCATCATCATCAAGTTTCCCCTCACTGGTTGCCAAGACTTAGTTAGGAGATAATCGCAAAGCGTGCGACGCAATAACCAGCGTGGGCCCCAACCAGTAGGCAATAACCAGCGTAGGCCCCAAACAGTAGGCAATAACCAGCGTGGGCCCCAAACAGTAGGCGTGGGCGCAGTTGCGTCTAACCAAAACATTCGTCCTCCTTCGCTCATCGCGGGAATCGCCAGCGCAATAGCTACCATCACCATCGCAATGCCATCATCGTCAACCTCATCAGCATCACAGCCACCATGGTCAGAACCATCACTGCAACTAACCGCATCAACATGATCAGTCCATGTAGCAGCATCACTATAGAGACCAATGTCACACCATCAGTCAAGCGTATACCAACATCATCGCCATCATCAGCATCAGCATCATCATCAGCATCATCCTCATCCTCATCCTCATCATCATCATCATCATCATCATCATCACCATCATCATCAGCATCAACATCATCATCATCAACATCATCATCATCATCACGCTGCTGTTTTGGCCCCGTCCAGCTGGAGGCACGTGGGTACCTCGAGCGCTGTACATTCACGCGGGGATGGCGCCTACGAGTGACCGCAAGCCCAAGAGACGCAGCACCAACAAGCGTAAGTTCGTGCAGGCGATCTCCAAGAAGATGAAGCTCGATTTCAAAACGACTCTCGAGTTCGTGAACACCTACTCAGATCAGGTGCTGACTGACATCCGCGAGACGGGCGCGGGTTTGATCCCAAATATCGGCTCGGTCGGGTACAATCTACGCGTGCCCAAGTCGCGCGTGGACAAGATGGATGCCCTCACGCTGGCGAATGGCGGCTCGACGGGCAACTTCAAGAAGACCTACCTCAAGCTCGCATTCAAGCAGGCGGTGCGCGAGGAGCACGAGAAGATCGTCGACCAGAATACCTGGAACAAGCTGAGTCCCTGCCCGTCGGTCGACACGGAGCCGATTGACCAGGCGGCCCCAGCCAAGGAGACTGCGCCCGTGATAGCGTTGGCATCGTCATAGGTCCTAGGCGAATGCTAAAGTCAAGCTTCACGGCGCGCCCACGGGCACGGGGCGCTGAGCACGATAGCACAAGTTTAGTTATGGCAGGGATCCGACACTGCACGGACAGTTCCATTCGGCAGCGACCGTGGTGAGACAAGAAAACACCACCAACCATCATCAAGCATCATTCATCGGGCGTTGAACTGATGTTCCAATAACTGCAACAGAAATGGCACCAACGAAATGGCATCATCATGTTGCTTGATAACATCCGCAATCGGACCCTGAACCGTTGTTCCAGTAATTGCAGCATCAGTGACTCCAGCCAAAAGGCATCATCCCCTTGCTCGTTCCAGGGGGGCTTCATTTGACATATTATGCAAGGTGACTCCCAAGACGGTAAGATGGCCCACGATAGCAACCATGAGCCCATATGAGCCCCACGAGCCTATCCTATGAGCCCACATGAGCCCCATGAACCCTGCGAGCCCTACGAGCCCTATGAGCCCTACGGGCCCTATGACCACAACTCTACAGACCCGATTAAGCCTACAGGCCCTAACCCTACAGACACTACTAACACTACAACCCTACATACTCTATACATACAGACCCTAACCCTACAGAGCCTAGCATGCAAACCCTAACCCTACAGACCCTAACCTTACATACACTAACCCTACAGGCCATACTAATCCTACAAACTCCAACCCTACAAGCCTAAACTGGTACAGACCCTAACCCTACAGGCACTACCTCATACAGACCCTATTCACCCTACATACCCATAACCTTACAGACCCTGGCCTATATGCCCTACTAACTACAGGCCCTACTAACCCTACAGACTCTGACCCTACACACCCTAAACCTACAGACCCTAATCTTACAGACCCCACTAGCCCTACAAACTCTAATCCTTCGGATCCGAAACCCACAGACCGTAAACCCTACAGACTCTGACCCTACAGACCCTAACCCTACAGGCCCTACTAAGCCTGCAGACCCTAACCCTGCTTTGGGCTTCCTGGGGACAGATTAGGCGTTCACCATCACCGTCATCGACATCATCACCATCAGCGTCATCGCCATCGTCACCGTCGCCGTCCCCGTGGGGCCCCACCTGGCTTTCGGGGCTCCTGCCTTGTTGGGCCCTGAGCGCCCCGCTTTGGGCCCCGCCGTCAAGGCGCCTCCCTTGGGACCCCGCCTTGGGCCCCCTCGCCGCTGCCGTCGTCATGTCATCGCCATCGTCACCGTCGCCGTCCCCGTGGGGCCCCACTTGGCTTTCGTGGCTCCTGCCTTGTTGGACCCTGAGCTCCCCGCCTTGGGCCCCGCCCATCAAGGCGCCTCCCTTTGGGACCCCCCTTGGGCCCCCTAGCCGCCGCTGGCCTCCCTCGGGAAGCCGCCCCGCCAAAAAAACAGAAAAAAACCGGAAAAAAACAGACTGTTTTTTGTCTGTTTCTATGTTGTCTAGGTAGCCCAGGGGACGGTAGCCGGCACAAAGCCGGAAAAAAAACACTCTGTTTTTTGTCTGTTTTTTTCTGTCAATTTTGCACACTAAGGTTTAGGGATTTGGGCCTCGGTCGAGCGGGCCCCCAAGCGGGCCCCCATGGGGTCCCTCGGACACGGCCCTTGGGCGGCTCGGCGAAGTCAGCGCCACGCAACATCGTTGGACGCTGTCGCCATTTGGGTTCACGACCAGGTCGCCTCGGCGAGTTTCGCCGCCCTGTTGCAGCGGTCCCGACAACGCTCCTGCTTGGGACATGGCGCCCAAGAAGCGGACCCTCGAGGTGCCGACGGTCACTCCAGAGGAGCTCGAGAAGGCGAAGGCACTGCTGAGGGACGCCGACGAGGCGAAGCGGGCTCGCTCGTCAATGACGTATTTTCTCGAGTCGCAGGGGCAGAAGCGCAAGTACGACGGGTGGCCCGTTGCCAAACGCAGGGAGTTCTTCCAGGCTTTCTTCGCGGATAAGCTCGCGAAGGGAGGTACTTCGAAGACCACCAAGTCGAGCATCCTGAGTACGAAGAACAAGAACACGACTGTGTGGTGGAGCCTTTCGAAGATGATCGCAGAGTTCGGCGAGCAGAAGGCCAAGGAGAAGGCCGAGTTGTTCGACAAGGATGAGAAGATGCATCGCCCCGACAAGGATACAGGCAAGGACGGGCAATGGAGCAGGGAGTACCGCATCGTCCTGGACAGCCACGAAGAGGGCGACGAGGAGCTAGACATTCAGGAGGTCAACGCCGAGGAGAGCCTCGACACCGTGGAGACGCAGAAGGAGGCGGTGGACACCCTCAGGGACATGCAGTCGTGCAATGGCGCGGGCTCGTCGGCTTCTGGCACTGACGCCCCGCTGGCGAAAGTGAAGGAGGAGCCCGCGGAGAAGCCTGAAGCGAAGCCCGAGGAGAGCGCAACCTTCAAGGCCCTGCAGACCGAGGGGAGGAAGGTCGTGTGGAACGTCGGGAAGGCGCTGACCCAGGCAAAGCATATGTTCCTGGCGACCAAGGGCGGGAAGTTTGTCGGCGAGCTCAACAAGGAGATCGGCCTGAACGTCAAGCAGCTCACGGAGGTCTTCAAGCTGGCCGAGGACAGCGTGTTGGAGGATAGAGAGAAAGCAGAACTCTTGGCGGTGAGCGTGAAGATCGACGAAGCCTTCGATGCACTGAACGAGAACGTCGAGTGGTTCAACAAGTTTTTTGCAAAGGAGGGCCAGCAGAGGAAGGTGAAGCAAGTCTGATGAGATGGCTGCCTGGCTTTTTGTTTCTTTTGGAGGGCAGCTCGAGCGCACAGGTTGGCCGTTCAGGCTCACTGGAAGCTCGGAGGAGTGCTGGCCCCCCGACGTGCGTGGCATTGGGGCAAGATGTGGACGTCGGCTGCGCCAGAAGGCACTCACTGGGCACTTGGCGCTGGGCATCGCAAGTTTGGCGGCAGCGACAGCCGCTAGCATGATGTCATACAGCTCGAGAATGCCAAAGAACAAGAAAACATCATCACCACCAACACCATTGACATCACCATGCTCATCATCGACATCAGCATTGACACCCTCACCATTACCACCTCATCGGAACGCCACGGCAAGACCGCATCAGCACTGTCATCGGCGTCAGCGCCGCCATCATCATAGCTAGCATGATGTCCAACATGTTGGGTGTGCCAGGACAACAGATAACCAAATAACATCGACACCATCACCAATGTAAACATCATTGCCAACATCATCAGCATCCACAGCATCGACATCTTACGCGCAATACAATCAACCTCATCCGCATCAGCATCAGCATCACCGTCATCAACATGTCGGCACGCCCCTCACACGCTGCGTGCCCCATGGGGAGCTCCACCGAAGGGATCTCCCGCGGGGGCCAATGTCCATGTCGAGAGAACCTTTAAGACTCATAGCGGAAGTGGACCCCGACGGTGAAAGCACCGATTGGGACATACATGTTGACCTGGAGCCCAATGCGGAGCAAAGTGCTGCGGCCTCCTGCATTCCTCCTTCCACCGACGGATCCCGTGGCCCTCCTCGCCCTGCCCTCCTCCGCCTTCCGCCTGCAGCCGTTTTGGCTCAAACTCGGGCGCCAACGTCGTTGGTGCGTCCTTTAGTTTAGATGCAGCTGCCACTACTCATCTTGTGTGTTTTCATGCCGCCACAGGGCGCAGGCCTCCGCCAGAGATTGGAATCTCGGCCATGCCCGCAGCGGGCAGAGGCCCGCCGTCCCGAGGCGCCTCGAGGAATTCGACACCGCCTCGCGCCCGAGCGGCGCGACGCCGCGGCCAGCGGAGCTGCGCAGGCCGTGCACGGGGGCATCAAGCGCCGCATGGATACCGCAGAACACGACGAGATCGAAGAGACGCCGTTCAACGACCTCTTGCGGAGGAGATGGGCCAAGGGAACCCTCAGCAGCCCCGACGTCATCCAGTTCGCGAAGGCCGCAGCCGCTCAGGGAGCGCAGCATGTCGGCGCCTACGCTGGCCGCTCCAACCTGCAGGCCAAGCACGCGTTCAGAGAAGTATGCCGTGCCATTGGCACGCCAATTGGAGCTCCGAGGATAAGCTGGGTTGAGTTGAAGAGCAGCAACGGCGACGTGACTTTCCACCCGTTCGTCGACCCGATCGACACTCTGGAGGCATGGCACGCGAAGGGGCCCCTGGTGTTCGCACAGCGCCTCGCTGGCGAAGACGGCGAGACCGCCAAGTTCTGGCATGGCCTTCGGGACCACGTGACCTACAAGTCCAACGCTTCGCGCATCTCGTCCACCACGATACCTTTGGGTTTCCACGGGGATGGCGCCCCGACGACAAAATCAGAAGGTCTGTTCACGCTGCAGTTCAACGGTTTGCTGGGCCATGGCAGCACGGTTTCTACGAGAGACGTCATTACTGTGTTCAAGAAATCTGAGCTCGACGTAGACATGTTTGAACAGCTGGTGGACCGACTTGCATGGAGTTTCAACGCGTTGCTCACTGGGGTGATGCCAGATGTTCAACACAATGGCTTGCCACACCCCGAAGCTGGTAGAAAACTGTGCAGTGGGCGAACGTTCGCCGCAATTCAAATGCGAGGCGATTGGGAATACTATGCTGACTTCTTGTATCTCAACAGGTGGAACAACGCAGAGTGCTGTTACTTGTGCGGCGCTACCCTCGGCGACGGCAGCATGTGCTACACTCGCGCTGATATGGCCGCTGGTTGGAGAGCCACAATGGCCACGCACAACAGCCACCTCCTGAGATGCGTGCGCGGCGATGTGAGACTCAGCAGCTTCTTCAAAATCAAGTCATTCAGATTTGAAGGCATCATGGTGGACGTTCTTCACTCGCTGGACCTCGGCGTGGCGTGCCATCTCATAGCAAACGTGTTCGTGGAGATACTGCAGCTTGGGCAGTGGGGGGCTAGCAGGGAGTCCCAGATGAAGGGGCTCCAGGCCGACATCGCGCACTGGTACAAGGCCCACGTGGACGCGCACAAGCTGCAGGGCAAGCTGATCTTCACCAGGCTTCGCACCCAGGCCGAGTGGCCGAAGCTGAAGGCCCCGTGGTAGAAATAGTACATACCTCCTCCAGCCTCTCCTCATGCTCCAATCCCTTCCCCTCCTCATCCGCACCCTCCCCCAGCAACCCCATCCATCGCCCATCGCGCTCCCCGCCCAGGGAAGCGGGGGAAGGGCGATGCGTGCAAGGGGCGAGGGAGTGGCATATACACATGGATGCACATACACATACACGTGCATGTAGAGGTGCATAAATCCACGCGCAAATCATGTATAAATATACATATGTGGGTTATACAGGTGTACTTACAAATATGTATATGTAGATACATATGCATGCTTGCTTCATGGTATGACCATCTGCATACATATGTGTCTGCATACAAATATACAAATATATGTGCGTGTGCGCACTTGTATGTACATGCACACATATGCTCTCACGTGTGCACATATAGCTATGGATATGTCATCATACCTACAGTTGCACACAAATTTCTACTATGTATAGTTACATAACTGTGTACGTATGTATGGTTGTGTATATGTATGCTTGTTTGTGCGTGCGTATGTATGTATCATACATACATATACGTTTTGAGCGGGCGCTGGTAGATGTATATTTGTGTAGACTTCACATGTGCGTAAGAATACCCCAGCGCCCCAGGCAAAAGCGGCCGCCAGCCGGTGTCTCGTGCCGTACGCGGCGTCCCTGGCACGTCGTTTCAACTCGGGTTCAGACCACGATCGGTTGCGACTTGGTGCGTGTGATCTGCTCTCCCGCGTCTATCAGTTGATGTATGATAACGGCAGATTCTTCCCTGTCTCAGTCAAAGACGAGTTGGCGCAGCTGGCCCGCGCATTCATTAATGCATATAGCCAGCTCTCTGCGGAAGCCATTGCATCTAGGAAAAGAGCCTGGAAAATGACACCTAAGTTCCATACATTTGTTCACCTGGCCGAACACCAGAGTTTCATGAACCCTCGTTTCTATTGGACCTACAGCGACGAGGACTTGCAGCGACTCATGAAAGAGATCGCAAGCAGCCTCCACTCAAGCCACTTGGCCCCAATGGTTATATTGAAGTGGCTTGTGCTCGCGTTTGAGTGTTGACTAGTGCTCCTGGTTTTGTTGAGGCGTGTTTGTGATGCAGGCAGGTGGCCACGTCAAGAAAATATTCCAGCTCGGGCCCTAAACTGTGGGTTGCGCCGCGCAAGTGGAACGCTGGGCTCGGCTCGAACTGCGTTTCGTTCTGTGTGTTAAGTTCATTATGCCGCCCGCGGGGCTCACTCGTCGCCACGGTTTGGTTTCGCTTTTCGAGGCATGCACCCTTGCGTCCTTGCCGCCTCATAAACATCAAAAGGAAAGAAAGGGGGCGGACGGAGGGGGGAGGAGAGGAAGAAGGTGGATGGAGAAGTGGCGTGGATAGGGGGAGGAATGATGCTCCTCTTTCCACGTCCTTATCCTTATCCTCGTCCCCCGCAGGCACGAGGATCGAGATTTCAGGAGAAAGGCCCCCCGCCCCTGTTCCTCATCCTTACCCTCGACCTCCATAGGCACGAGGATCGGATCTCAGGAGAACGGCCCCCCGCCCCTCGGGTTCCGACGTCGGCCCGAGTAGGGGGCTCACCCCCTCGGCAGCCGAGGCTTTGCTGGCGGACGGCGTCGACCCTAAATTGGTGGAGCGCTTGACCAGGCTGGGCGTGATGGAACGTCATCCCTCACCCTCTATCGTTCTCATTCCCCCTCCCGTGCCTCTCTCACTCTCTCCCTCTCTCTTCGCCCCTCTCTCCCCCCCGTTTTATATACCTATAGATATATACTGTTGGTGCGAACGCACATATATACATAGCCCTTATATATAGATGCGTGCGTACGTGTCTACAGTTACATGCGCACACATAGATACATACATACATACATCAACACAAATGCGTATGTTTTGCGTGTGAATGTTCAAAGTTAGTTGTACGTGTATGCGCATATACACGTGTCGACTCAATATGCGGATTGTATACTTATGTATGTCTGCATATCTAGATTGTATAATGTGTAACTACCTTTCCACCTGTGAACATGTATGCACATGCATTGGTACATGCATACAAACATGCATACATAAACATACAAATAAGGTGTGCATACACATATATATATATATGTGCATATATACACATATACACATATGTATATATGTATATAGATATAGATATAAATATAGATGTACATACACATGCGTGTGAGAGATACAGGGAGAATCTACCTCTTTCGCCCTCCTCCTCCTCTTCCCCCCGCTCGTCCCCCCCCGCCTTCCCCACCCCTCTCGCCTCGGCACGCCCAGCCTGGTCAAGCGCCCCGCCGATTCAAGGCCGTTTGAGCAGCAGGCCAAGCAGCCGACGGAGAGCAGCAGCGCGGGCAGCACGACGGAGAGCAGCAGCACGAGCAGCAACGAAACGTGAGAGCAGAAACAGGCGGCGCTCGAGAAGGCGAAACGGCGCTCGAGAATTGAGGAAGGAGCTCGAGGAGGAGAGGGCCAAGGAGAAGAAGGAGAAGGAGAAGGAGAAGGAAGACAACCTCCGCGGCGCAGGCGGAAAACGGTTCTAAATTGCCTGGGTTCCATGGGGAGCATTCTGACCAGGATCTCGTGGCGAATCCAGCCGTGGCCGCGAAGGGCCAAGAAGCCCAAGAGCGACCAGCGACGACCGTCGAAGCAGCGCGTTCTGACCAGGATTTCGTGGCGGAGCCAGCCGAAGCGTCGACGGCGACGCCGAAACTTCTGAGCAAGGCGATTTAGACAGCTGCTCCCAAACCTCTTCTGATTCGGGGCAAGGCGCTCTGAATTGCGCGATCTCTTAAGCAGAATCCCTTTGGACCTCTCGGGCCCTCTGCGCGGCGAGCCGCCCTACTAGACACTAGAACGCCTTCGGCAGCTCTCCGCGATCCCAGGACAAAAACATAAACACTGCAGATAGGCAACGCAGCATCGAAAACAAACAACAACGCATATACCAGACAAACAACGCACAACAATCACTCTAAGGAACAAACAACAACGAAAATAACGAAATCACGCAAAACGACACTGAAACCAAACAAAAAAAACAACGCCCCAAGAAAAACGGCGCCTACAGAAAAATGACGCCTAAAGAAAAACGACGCCTCAAGGCGTCATTATGTTTGGAATCGCGCCCTCTCAAAGGCATTATGGCGCATGCGGGTTCGATATGGCGCGTGCGTCACGCGCGCGCCATCTATGATGACGCGCGCGTGGATAATATGGCGCGCGCGGCACAAGAATGACGCATTGAGGGCTCTGGGTGGAGCGGTCTTGGGAGCCTCTTGGGCCGTCTTGGAGCGTCCGGAAGCCGAAAAAGCCAGAACGCAAAAAACATCTGAAAAAAACAATAAAAATCAACGATTTTGGCCTCTTGGGGCCCTCTTCGGAGGCCTCTTGGAAGGCCCTTGGGGCGTCTTGGAGGCCTCTTGGGCTGTCTTGGGGCCCTGTTGGGCGTCTTCGGGCAATCTTTGGCCGTCTCGGGGCCCTCTTGGACCGTCTTGGAGGCTTCTTGGGGACCTCTTGGCCCGTCCTGGGGCCCTGTAACAGGGCTCCGGCATCTCTGGCCCGACCTTGCCGGGGACTTGCCGGGACCTTGCCGGGGTACTTTTCGTCCGGGGACCCCCAGGGGCCGCCCCGCGCGCGCGAACTAGAAATACTGTTAACCAGGTACCGGAGATCTTAGCACGCCCTGGCCCGTTGGGCCGGCGAATTATTCGATTGGGCTCCCGAGGGAGCCGCACTGCGAAACGCGCGCCTGGAAGGGGTGCGGCATACGGGGTTGCGGCGCCGGCGGGGAGAGCGCCCGCGGACCCGAAAGCTCCTCAGGTGTGGTCTCGACATGCGAATCCCAGCGAAATCCAAAACATTCTACGGGGACTGCCGCTGAAGGGAGTCACCCCCGCTGGCCGCGAAGGCAGACTCCCATAGATGGAGGAAAAGGCACTCACAGCAAAGCGGGGGAGAGACCCGGAAAAACTCAAGAGGCAACCCCCTGGAGGTGGCACGCGGGGGGAGAACTGGAGGCTGGGCCTCTCGAGCCTTCTCGAGCCAGGAGGGTCACTGAAGGTGAGTTCCTGGAGGTCCCTGCTCATCGTGTTGGTCCCAAACCTCTGAAGTCGTCGTTGTTTCACAACGTGGGCCGCGGAGGTCTCGACCTGTACCCCAGATCCCGAGCCATTGTCCGACTTGCCAAAGGCCAAGCAAAGGCCCTCGGGAACCGAAAACTCGACCACATATTCAGCCGTGATTCTACACAATTAGAGGAAGTATGGGATTCCCTGGAGGTATGTGTGGGGACCTACGCACTGGTCAGCCTGGCTTCCGCTGGGACTGGTCGCCAAATACCCGACCACCTCGAATATCAGCTCAGCCGTGACGCGTGCGGCGACGTAATCACCAAACGCGCTTGGACTCATCCGACCTCCCGCCGCTTCGGCACTTTCGAGGAAGTGATCCCAGTCTTGCCAGTCGATACTGTTCGGATCGTCGGCGTGGTGGTCCTCCTGCGTCGCCATCGCCATGAATATCACCATCGAGGCGTGCGTACTGCCGACTCGAGCTGCCCACTCGTTCCTGGAGAGAATCATGTCGGGGCCCGCGATGAACGGGAATTCTCCATGCCAACCTCCATGCGTCATTCCATCTTTGAATATGCATTGAGCTGTTTGTTTCACGCTGCGGCCAAAATTTGCGCAGAATGGTGGAGGGGCATGCCATGAGGACGGTGGCATGCCGGGCTGCCAGGGACCGCCCTCTCCGGAAACAGTTGCATCTCTGCTTTCTTCAGCAGCAAGCGCATCGAGAGCAACCCGAGCTCCTAACCCAGTGTGAGTCAAGGAGACCGCAAGGATCACTGCACCACCACATTGGCACTTCATCAATGAATCCGCCGACGCCCGCTTGCCAGGAAGGCAAAGGCGTGTGAGACGATTGGCTGTTACCCCTCCCCCGTTTCCCCCTCCCCTGGGGCTTGGAATCCGACTAGAGGTGAAAGAGGGTGCGGGCGGGGGGCGGGGGGGGGATGGCCCGTGGGGGGGTCCTCTGAGCTCATCAACGCCCCCCTCAGGGCCTCTGGAGCTTCCATTTCTACACTCGACCAGGATAGGAAGGACGCGCGGTAAGGATGCAAGGGCCTCGGAACGGCATGTTCACGTTTTCCGTGCGGAGCGCAGCAGAATACCGAAGTATGCCGAATACCGAAGGGGCAAGGATGCAAGGGTAGCCTTGGACAGTTGCCCCATCCTTACTATCATGGTTGACTGTACACAGTGGACTCCGACATGCATTCGAATCGATCTACGACTGCTCAAGCAAAATTCCAACACGCACAAGAGTCCTCGAAGACGACCAAGATGGCCTCAAGACTGCCCGATAGGCTTCAAACTCACCCCAAGTGGGATCCAAAGCAGCCCCCGAAAGGGCCTGAAGAAGCAAGAACCGTCCAAATCCCAAAAAGAAACACGTACAGCTTGAACATCTTCACATGTTTGGTCTCAGCAGCGTCCACGACGGCGCGAGAGGCCCCCATGATTGCTCCACGACGGCCCAAGAAGTCCCCAAGAGGGCCCCAAGACGGCAGAAGCGTGTTCCAAGACGGCCCAAGTGGCGCCCAAGATGGCCCAAGATGGCTCCAACAGGTCCCCAAGAGCGGCCCAAGAGAAGCAACACAAACTGACATTGCGAGCCCTCCGCACCAAGAAGGCCGCGAAGACCGCCAGCAGGCGCCCAAGAAACCCCCAAGGGGCCCCCAAGGCCACACCCGGTGATGTCATCCCTCCTTGTGGGGGTCGGCGGAATGGCGGAAGCCTTTTGAATACGTGTTCGCAAGCTGCACGGGTATTTGGAGAGCGAAGGCACTGCGGCAGACACGCACGCTGTTCTAGCCGAAGTTGCTATGGAGGAGGACGGAGAGCAACACTGAGTAGAATACCACTCTCAAGTCTCACCAACTCACTCACTCACTCACTCACTCACTCACAGAAGCCATGTCGAACGACACATCGGCTCAGCAGAGCAACAAAAAGCTCGCCGCGCAGGAATGGCTTTCAAGTCTGCGCGGAACGAATCTGAGGACGTACCATACCATTATCATTAGAGGAACCGAGAATGGCATAATCATACACTTGTAGAGCTCCGCGGACCCCTCCCTGACGCGCGGGGCGCGCCAGGGGCGGCGCCGGAGGAGCCGCCAGGGGGGTCCAGTACCGATCACAGAAATCCGCGCGGAGGTCCGACGTTTTTGTTTATGCAGTTTTGTTCATTCCAATCATGAGCTGGGATGCCATGACAATAGACACTCTAAGAGTCCGATCGTTCATCTAAAGATGTGTGCCAAATGATTTGAACATGCGTAGAACTTGTGTTAAACAAGTTGTTACATGTTAATAGAAAAAGGTTTAACCACGCTTCAGACATCTGCACAATATTTTGCAACGTGCCTCCTCTCCGTTGACCGTCCTCCACCAAATCATGGCCTCTTGGTCCTCTGAGCTGAGAGGCGACTTTGGGGGAAAATATACATGCACATCGAGCCCGCGCCCGGTGAAGCTCGCGCCGCGGCGGGAGGCCGGAAGGAGCGAAATGGCGAAGGGGGAGGAGACGAGTCTGCCCCTCCTCCTCGCCGTCCGCCGGTGCTTCTGTGTGCGTGGGGCTCCAGAAGGTCTGGGCGCTGGTGGAGTGCGAGCGCGAGAAGGTGGCGTGTTCAATCGCCGCGATAACCGGACCGAATCTGAATCCCACCAGCCCGTTACGAAGGAAGACACCGGGCCGAATCTGAATCCCACCAGCCCCGTTGGGGCGTTCGTGGTAAAGCGGTTTTCCTCTTCCAACGCCCCTTCTTCCCCTTCGGAGAGGGTTTACCTCTCCGCCGACCCCCTCCGCCTGGACCTGGACGGGGGTGGGGGTCGCGCCGCGTGAGAGCGTCCAAGATGGCCTCGGCGAGAAGGCCAACATAATTGATATCACTAAGATGTTGGCCACATGTTGGCCCTCTGGCGGGGGCCTAATTCAGGAGCTCCCTTGCTTTAACCGATCTCCTCTAAGATGGCCCCCGATGCTCCCAACAGTGCCCTACATGGCCCAAGAGGCGCAAATGCGGCCGCAAGAGGCCCACAAGAGGCCCCCAAGAGGCTCCCAAGAGACCCCCAAGAGGCCCCAAGAAGCTTCCCCAAGGCAAAGACGCTCCAAGAGGCTCACGGGACCGCCAAGAGATCCCGAACAGGCCCCAAGAGACCTCCAAACAGCTACCAAGAAACATCCGAAGAGACTTCGAGAAACATCCAGGAGGTCTCTGGCCTTTCTGCTCGCCCTCCTCCTCCTCCTCCTGTTCCTCATCCGCCTATTCCTCCTCCTCCTCCCTCCGCCTCCTCCTCCTCCTCCTCCTCCTCCTCCTCCTCCTCCTCCTCCTCCCTCCTTCCCCTCCCCCTCCTTCTCCCCCTCCTCCTTCTCCCCCTCCTCCTCCTCGGATTCCTCCTCCATCTTCCCTCTTTTGGGATATGACGGCTTCCCCCGCACTTAATCACACTGCATGCTCTTCTACATCCCTGATCACGGCAACTCGCCTGCATATCTTTTTGGGATGGGCTGGTGGGGTTCTTCGGAGCGTTTAGAATTTGATTCGGATCGGATTGTATCGGCACAAAATCGAAGTCGAATCGGACCGGACCGGCCTCAATCGATGACGGACTAGATCGATCGGACCGAAATGGACCCCGTGGGGGGGATCGACTTCCTGCCTGCAAGGGTTAAGAGTAAAACATCTGTCACACATGAGCCGTCCCCGAGAAGGGTGGTCATCATTCGATGGTCTTAGCCGCATGTCTCTTCAGGACCATGGGACCGCTCTTCGAAGATTCCCCGTTTCCCTGGCATCAGGCCACTGTCGACATGCGAGACAACGAAGACGGGGACGGCATGCTGTGCCATCGCCAACGGTAGAACGAAGACAACCACGACCGGCTCTGCCGCTGTTCCGTAGCAGTAGGTTGGCTGCTGGTCTCTCTCTCAGGCCAGCACATCATCAAGCGGCCACGATAATCCAAAAGAACCTGCATTCGACTCACGCGGAGCCTGTTGGCACCCAACTTCCTGACCATTCAATTCTTCAGCCCAATGCACGGGGAGCTGTCGGCTGCCAGATGTATGCAAGTGAGCTATGGCCACCACACCTTCGCTCTCCTCCCAGATGTCAACTTCCCGTGCTTGGCCTAGTTACACGTCCGAACATGAAGGCACACACACACTAAGGCACACACAACACAACGACTTTCAATTGGTCGAACTGCCATCGGCTTTGCAAGAAAATTGCGACTCGGCACTCGAAATCACCGACCTCTCGAACCGATAAAGTGGAAACCGTAACCCTGCATACAGCAAATTGCGACTACGGTCGAATCTCGCGAGGTCCCAATGCTGCATAACGAATGTGAACAACGAACGTCATGTGCGGATGGTGTAATTTGCAAGAACGCGAACTACCAACTGCGAGAACGTGAATACGAGAGCGTGGCACAGTGACCAGCTGCAAGACGAACTTGTTGTCAAGCACTCTCCTCCATTGTGGGAAGCGACATGACCTCGTAAACAGCTTGCCGCGGTGAAGCCTGGCAAATGAGCGTGAGGGATCGAAAGCCTGGCAAATGAGCAGACGGGATCGGAACCCATGCATCGAAACGCGCAATGAAGAAGTGTGGGTTCAACAGCGAAAAGCAAGAACGCTCCTATCAAAATGCAACCATCCGTGGAGCTCGTTTTCAGCGAGAGCGGGGGGGAAGGACAGGGAACACGGGATCCACGGCACGTCTCTCGAGCCCCGCTGCCGAGCGCACGCAACACCCTCCAGCCTGCCGAACCCAACACACATACCCCCGACCCTTTGATGCCACGACCATCCGTGGCCAAACGTCCAGGACCCGTCTCGTGAAACGACCGCGTTTGCTACCGTTCCTTGTCAGTTCGTGCCTGCCCGCCCGCCTGCTTCGGCCCGCTGGCCCGGGCGGCATGGCATGGCTGGCCTTGAGGTTCTAGTAAGTTCGAACTCACGGGTGCCGCCAGAAGAATGGGACGACGCACGCAAACCAACGGGTGAACGTCAGAACGTGCAATTGCCTCCAACGGATTGTGGGCCCGTGGGCACACTCCCCTGGTGGGGCGCTGGCCCAGCTGGTGCTCCCTCAGGCGCGCAGACTTCGGCAGTGGGGCGATGATAGTGATGGTCGTGGGGGATGGCAAGAAACATGTCTATGTGTGGCCGCCGCTCTCTGCCCCTGTGCTTCATCGGAAAACGTACATTGAAGCGGATTCCACCAGTCGCCCCAAAGCGAACACCGTGAACACCGCGACCTCCGCGCTGATGCGACGAAGATCCAACCGCGACGACAAAAACACTCAGCCAATCCACTCCGTGACGACGGCGCGCTATCGATCCGAACATTGAGTATAGCCATCTTGTAGTATATCGTCCCCCGGGCGATACGACCAGAAAGCGCCCGCCACGGAGTAAATACTGTAAAATTCCTCGGCGCGCTCGTCGCCCCGTCGGCGGCGACGCCCACACAGTATGAGTACGTAATGCTGGCGCCGATGGAGCGTGTGACGGCCCCGGGGTCCGTGGCAGGCCCCCATGGCTCAAAAACAGAGAGAGAGAGAGAGAGAGAGAGAAAGAGAGAGAGAGAGAGAGAGAAAGACCTCCAGGACCCGTTGCCTCGAGACCCGCCTGCCTCATGGCGGAACGTGCTCCCTGGCTGCGGTGGGGAGTGCGGCCCTCTGCGGACAGCCCGCAATGGGGGGGGGCCTGCCCGTGGGAGGGGGTGGGGGGCAACATCAGTGCTCCACGCTTCCAGCATCGGTTGCCTTTTTTTTTGTTGACATCCACGTCATCACCTCCACATCCTCTTGTGAGAACCGAGGTCCAGAGCCAGCAGCGGAGGGGGATGCTGGCTCCCTGACACAGACCGATTAGTCTGAGTCGTCTGAGTCATCAGCGCGAGTGGGACCAGCCCGGGAGACCAAAGGGGCCTCATCCCCCTGCCGCTCCAGCTCTAAGCGCACCTGCCTCAAGACATCTCTTTGGGAGGGGGCAAGCACACAGGGCAACAGAGCGAACGCAGAGCTGCAAGCGCCGTGCGAAAAAGAGGAAAAAAAACGAACGCCAGCGAGCGCACTGCCCACCTCCTCCGTACCCGAAACGGGCACAGTGGAGGTGACCACCTCGCTCAGCCGCGGAGAAAAACTCGCACCACCGAGCGCACAACCTTCTGCCTTCGCTCCCACAACAGGAGCAGGGAAAGCAGGCAACTCGCTCAGCTGCGTGACGGGCCTGAGCACAGAGCCAGGCGCAGAAAGAGCAGCACCAGAGACGCCAGCTGCTCGTCCAAAAAGGAAGCTAGACGCTTCCTCCTCAGCTACAAAGAAATTTTCTCAATCCTCCGCAGCACTCGAACTAGTGCCAGCGTGCACGACCTTACGGCTCCCACCCCCGTCCCGCCCAGGCTCCACCCCCCGCTCCACCCCAAGAAGAGGAGGAAGAGGGAGGAGGTCTGGCCAGGAGGCCAGCAGACGCCACCGTGCCGCGCTCTTGAAAACTGGGACGATCCCCCTCATTAACCCTTGGGGGCCCACAAGAAACCAGTGGGCGAGGGGGGTCCGCAGCCCCAGGAGCAGGCTGCACCTGGGGCTGAAAATCTAACTGCTCACCGGAGCCTGGCCTGTTGAAACATTCAACAAAAGAGTCGACGTCCACAGAAACACCGTGCTTCCGACGCGAGTAGAGAGGGCGCTTGCCTTTGCAAAGCTGGACCCATCCCAATCTGCCAGCTCGAGTGGGGGGAACACACCGGTCCGCCAAACCTCTGACATGACCTCCAGACGAGTAGCACGTGTAACGCATGCAAATAAATAAGACCGACTGGTCAGAGCAATCGGACGCTAAGGTATTGTGGCCCAGGCGGTCCTGATGGGCAGCGCGAAGCTTGCTGCCCCGAGGGCAACGACCTTTGGTGGGGGGAACCACAGCCCGACAACCTTTGAGACAAAAAGCGCACCTCCAGATACCAGCCCAGCGAGCCCAACGATGGCCCGCAGCAGCACTGGCAATAGGGGAAGGCTGGATCCGTTCGACAGAAGACAAATCTACCGAGGGCCACAAATGAAGCACCGCACAGGCAACTTTGAGAGTGGCCTTCGCAAACTTGACCTGACGATCAGCATCCTGAAGCAGGCCATGATAAGAAGGATGAATGTGAAGGGTCAGTCTAGCCCCTACATCGGCGAAGTTATTGCCAATGCGACGCCACCTCTCTGCAGCATCAATGGCGGGGTCTTCGATGTCCTGGTGGGCAGCGACTTTCGAACAACCCGAGACCGAGGAACACTGACCATGCACTGCAAAAAGGCACCAGCATACATCTTTTTGCCCGATAATTCCTCACGCTTCGACCGACCTGCAAACCGAACAGCATTAAGGCAATCGGAGTAAACATGACAATCAGTGGGACTCGTAGCCAGCACGTTGGCCCACGTGAACGCACTGAATTCGGCGCTCTGAGGGGTCTGAGGGTCAGGGCTCCAGACGGGGGCTCTAAACTCAGCCACAAGGGTGCCATCGGAGTCAACCATGCAGACCGAGCTGGCAGCACGCGTGAGCTCACGAACGGCATGACGAGCACAAGACCCGTCAACAAACAAAGAGCCCCAGACACGGTTGGTAATGGGCCCACCATCTGGGGCAGAGTCGGGAGGGACATGCCACGCGAGGAACAGACCATCATCAGTCTCCACAGCCGGCCTGGGGTAACCGTCGGCGGGATGCCGAAAGGCTCCAGATATAAAGACGAAGTCGTCTTCGAGGTCCCCAGAAGCCTTAGCAGCAAACGCGGCATCCATGATGTCCTGCTTCACAGCCCCCAAACGGGCCTCCAGAACCTTAGGATGCTGGCACTCCCACAAACGGTGAAAGATAGTGTCACGGGCACCGCAGAAGGCGCAGTCGGGAGAGATACAATAACCTAAAAGCCTCAGCCCTGGCAGCCGTGAAAAAGGCCTCGGTAGCGAAAGCCCGAATCATGGCCTTCTGCAGGGCCGTGTACTTTTTGGACCTGGGCGACACAGCCTGGCGAACCACGTCGTAACAAATCCTAGAAGGGATCCCCCGCTTGGCCGCAGAGTCACGCTCGAGCATGCGGAAGTGCCCCTCGCGGACCAAGGACCTGACCAGGGCAGGGGAAAACAAACCCAGGGGATAAAACGACCGAAGTCATCAACCAGGGTCATGAAACCCATCATCTGCCAACCCAGACGCACGAGGGACATGCGAAGGGCCGCGACTGGCCCCGACACTTGCCGCCAGGAACACCTATCGTGAGAAAACACCGATCTCCAGGCCGCGTTAAGATACGGAAGACTGAGGGACCAGGGATAGGCCGCAGTTTGACTGATCCAGACTTCTTTGCTACACCTGGTGATCGGGGCAGTCGCCGTGCGCCAAGTCGGACCTCCGTCCAACAGCGCGCGCGTAGTAAGAGACCTCAGCTGGCTGCGAGGACGCACAGCACAAAACAAAAAAAAAAAAAAAGCACGGCGGCGTAACAAGCGAAGGTCGCGGTCGCTTATGCCCGCGACCTCAGTGCCGTACGCGGCCCCAGCTAAGGGGGCAACCGAATAAACTCTAAGGGTGGCCGCTCTAGAAATCACCTTAGCTTGCTTGCCGAGGCGGCGCGCAGCACGGGCAGACTTCGCCATGCGAGACTTCATCTTGGCCGACCTGCCAGCAACGCGCAAGGCCCTGCCCGCAGTGTAGCCGACCCCGGGGTCGACCGTAGACGGCGAGCAATGTTGACAAAGGTGGCTGAGCTGCTCAAGGACCTGGGGCCCCACCGCCTTGGAACTAGCAACAATGGCCGTCTTGTCGAGGGCGGGCGAACATCCAAACTCTTGATGGGCGACCTGATCGAGAGCTTTAGCTCCAGAGACGATGGGTGAGACGACAAACCGAGACTTCCCCGTGGCCGAAAGCCCCTGGTCCTCGATATTTACGTCCAGGTCCGTGCCTATGGGCAGCGGAATAGAATCATACCCTTCAGCACAGTAAACGCGAATGAGGGTAGTGGCCATAGAGCAGCCCGCGATGACACCGTTGATGCAGAAGTAGGGCCCGTCAAGCCCCCCCCCCCCCCCCCAAGACTCAATGACCTGCCACGGCGATGCGCATAGATGCACAGTCTGGCGATGACCGAGGGAAAGCCAAGCACATCGCACCGATATTCAAGTTTGGCAAAACATATGTTCTCATAGAACTTGGAAAGGTCAAAAAAGATGCTGCAGCTGGCTTCCCCCCTGGCTAAGCCGCTCTCGGCGGTGACCGCCTGCCTCCAAACGACGCCCGCTGCTCCGCGAAACTGGCCAGCAGCCCAGTACCGACGGGTGTGTTCCAACTCCCAGTCCAGGGCCAGGGAGCGCCCGCAGCGCCCCCTAAGCCTGAACCAGGAGCAGAACACCCCCATCGGCCTGTAGCCGCCAGCTGGTCTCGGGGGCAGGGCAAGCAACACCGCAGAAATCTGCGGCGGAAGGCAGCCAAGAGCCTCAATCGCGCTGAGGATGCTGCTGA